GATCGTGTCCCATTTCCATAGCACATTGTGCCAGAAACTTGAACGCTATGTCACATGACAATTTGTTTATGGTAATCAGTGACCGTCAATCCAAGTACAACTTACCATCGAGCGTTAGCGGAGCTTTACCTTCGGAGATCGGGTGGTCTCCGTTTTGCTTGAGTGAAGCAATCTGGCGCTTGTATCCATTGGCAAAATCTACTTGTAGTTAGCGTAGCAGCACAAAAGGACAACGATTACGTCACATACCCTGTAGCATGGACAGTAGCTCGTCGCTGAGGACGCGCCCTTCTTCTTTGTAGAGATGCTTGATTGCGTTGGAAAATCCATTGATGGTGGAGTACGAATTGTGCTTGCGAGGAGTTATTTCGCGTCCTTTGGAGTCGCGTTTGATGGATATGTATGCAAGGAACCTTTGGCACACAGCCTTTGTCACAGGGAGGGCCACCTTGCCATCGATAAGTGATTCGGGGGAATAATGTTCGAGCCGACGGGAAAACCGCGCTAGAATTGACCTGTACTGCTGGCGGGTAGACGGAACGATACGCAAAGCAATTATATCATCACCAGCTTGTTGTCCATCAGCGCAACTCGCTCCAATTCTTGGATCCATCGACGTTTGGTGCCGCTCTGAAGCGGTGTGAGCTCTCGAAACAACAATCCGGATAGTGTACTTGCGCAAGAACCATATATCTATCCGTTTCACCTTTTCTATACATTCTGTAAGTTCTCAAAGGCGATGTGTCAGAGGATATATTGCTTTTGCGCAAGATATACTTGCGCAATCCTGATGATTATGCGGATTTTACTTGCGTAAAAAACAACTATTTCGCAGTAAGCGTGAAACCCACATGATTTCGGCAATGCGATCATAGATGCATTTTGGATTACTCTACCTCGACCTATCCGTATTCATGGACTAGTGCCACCGCTGAGAGATGCCCTCGACACACACAAACTACTTTAGTATATCGGCCATTCCTTGGCCAAAACCGCTCATTCTTGGACTGCACGAACGTAGGCATGTTGGACTGTCGCTATGTATGTGGGACTGGTACCACCGTCACTTCACACATGCCAAATAAGCGCATTCACCGCACACGACATTTCGTTATATGTAACCCGCAACCATGCCTTCAGTTTTCATATGAAATGTATCACTGATGCTATATTTCGACGTAATCTTTTCAAATTATGACATACTTCTATATTAAAAATACGTATCGCTATTCTCATGGAATGTAGTGGATATGTTTCCAAAGAGCATCGTAACTGGTGGCCAAAATTTGAAGTCCATACGTATACGTTTTGAACAGAGAATCGAATACAAAGTCAACTTGCATCAAAACTCGTCTCCTTCGTCGGTAGACATATACATTTATCCTCGCTTATAATAGCAAAAGGAGAATGATCAATTTGAACTTCATTAACATTAGCCTTTTTATATGAGTGGAGGATATAATGCTTGGTTTATTACATGAAGCATCATAACATACAGTGCATTAAGCAGATTATTGACACCAAAGACTCTGACGCATTGCTTAAGGGCCACTTACGGCCAATATGAGGGACGCAAAAGCAGCGGCAAGGCAGCCCAACGCAACTGCGTGGCGTTCGCTAGAGGACGAATTGGCTGCAGCGGGTGGAGGGGGCGTTGGCTTCTTTGGACGACGCATTCTCTTAGTAAGAGTTTAATCTTGCAATATAAAATATATAAACTGGTTTTTATATATACATGTAAACTGTTAAACCTAATATCCATTTTTCCAAAAAGTGGATTTTAACAACTATGGCCCCACCGCGCTCTGATCTCGATTTCCTCCGACTCGTTCATGCCAGGAATGTCCACCGCTGCATTGATCAACGACGACAACGCCATGATTTACGTACGCGTCAGTGGTACTGGAGATGGTAGCTGGTGATAGGGGGTTGGTTACCTACGCTTTGTTGTGGCAATGGCTAGCGCGACAAACGTAGGTTGTAAAAAAAAAACTACAATAGGAGGGCGACGAAGACATCTCCACGGCACACACGAGGCCACATCCCGCAAGAACACTTAAACCCACCAGCAGCCGCGATGCATGTCGAGTCTCGGTATGACGAGTCTGCCGAAATATACCTATGGATGCCAAGGACGTCGCTGACACGAAAGATAGCGTCCGTCCATCCACCTTGGCCACGGACAATCCGATGTCGCCTACGTCGACACCACCAATCGTCGACACAACCTCCGACCAGGACGAAGCGAGCAGCCAACAAGATACATCGCCCACGGCCCTAACCCGAACCTATTCCATCCCAGCACCACACTTGGCACCTAACAGCCCAACTGCCATCAATGATGTTGGTGCTCCATTTTCACGCACGGTGTCGGTTCCCGCCAGTGTTCCGCAGGAAGGGCATCCACCGCATTTTCCCCCTCGGCATGTATCGTCTCTACCTCCGCAATAGCTCCTCCATCAAAGTCGTCCCCATTTCCAAGAGATCCCGTCGACGAAACATTGCCCATGGGGTACTTACAACTCATCACTACTTCTTTGATTCACCGCGGCTGCCAATAATGTTATCGTGATACTGTACCCGTCTCGTCATAGGCTTCAATTTGTATTGGACACGTTGTGGCGCAACGACCAATTCACAATTGAAGGCCTGAAAACTGAAAAAGGTCGGCGAAACCAACGTGACCGTGTCGCAGTGGGCTATAAACCTATGGCGTACACCGCGTTCAGTCGCCCCGAAACGTTCCAAAGCGAGCGCCGAGTGACGTTTGTCCACAACAAAAAGAACTTTATCGGCCCCAGCGCAATCCCAACCACCCAAATCTACCGGTACGGCCTACTACAGCTGTACCCTTCGTCATGACCATTCACTTAGGTACACGTACACGCCTGGGCAGCGGTTGGTCGTGAGCGTCACGTCCAGCGTGCACGACGCGCCATTTTGTTACTACTTCCGCGCCGAAAGTCGCTGGGTGTTCGACGCATCGTTGTCGTCCGCCCACGAATGCTCGTTAGTCAGTGGCATGCGGCTGAATTGAGCCAAAAGCACGTTCCGCAGGTAGTGCTGTACAGGCTGTACAGGCGATGTGAAATGTTCGTGTCGTCCAGAAGGGAATAAGTTATGTGTTACGTATGGACAGATTGAAGGGTTTGCCAAATCCGAGTCGAAATCAGTGATGCTCAAGTGGGTCAAGCAAGCTATCGACGCGTACAACAGCGCCCATCCGTCGTAGAAACCAGTGCATTGTCAAGACTAAGGCCCGGTGGCCGCCGCCACGTCCGAAGACGGTCGCAGGATGGATCAAGATGCTGTGGCGGCGACGATGACAATGCAGTTGGATCCAGACACGAGCCTGCGTCTCTTGCGCCGGCTGAATGTCGTGGGTGTCGTGGTGCTGGTGGTGCTGTTGCTGCAATTGATGGCGACGCTGTATAACCTCAGAACGACCACGAACGAATCCGTCCGGCTGCAAAATCAACACCAGGTGCTTCTCAGTTTTAACTCATGGACAAGATGAAGTGCGTCAAGTCGAGTGCGTGAGTTCCACGGGATGCCTCACTTCTTGCACAATAACAGCGTAATGTTACATGAAAATATGTATCTATTTTCAACTGTCCATATTCTATTTTGCTGATACTGTAGACTGTGCAATGGCCTGTCAATGTTCAGGCGTCTTGTTTATAGGAGGTTGCTCTCAAACCAAAGCCACAAGGCTGAACTGCCTCACTTTTCAATTTGCTTACGACCCCTCCATGAGCGCGTATCTTATCGTTTGCAGTGCAGTGCTCTACACGATCCTTGTGTCGACGCCATTGGCCTTAGCTGCGACCGCCCCTTCTGATGTGTGGAAAACCAACAACAATCGCGTGATTGTCCTCCACCACCGCCACGGCTACGTGTCGACCGAAAGCAACGTCATTACAACGGAAGAGCACGCCGCCTTGCGCCGACTCATTGCTAACATTGAGGCTCCATCGAACGACGAGGCTAGCCATCGCCGAGCGGGCATTCCGGCCGAGTACGCAGTGAACTTGATGCAACCATTCGGGGGTGCGAGCGCTTCAGCGGAGATTGCTGCGCATGATAAACAAAAGGCGGAGGCGAGCAGTCTGGACAAGGCGCATTCAGGGACGTCCGCTGAGAAGAAGGCCGATCGCGGCGATATCTTCTACGAGAAACTGATCATTTTCAAGACGAGCCACGACCGCGTCAAGGAGAACGCCGAGTCGGACAACAAACGATTGAGCAGCCGAGATGTGAGCCAGGAAGCCGACCGTGGACAAATGGCCAAGCAGCGCCAGACAGTGACTTAGTTCTCCTTGAACGTTGGTTGGCTATTCTATCCTGAGGATAAGTATTGTAATCTTGTGTAACCGATTAAGTACTATGATTGGTTAAAAAGATGTTTAATTCTGTAACTGGCGGCGACTTGAACCAATCGACCGACGGACGAATTCTTGTATTGATTGCCATCATGGAAGGGACGGAAGCTGCTGGCGGCGTCGAGGTGGTGACGGAGGCCACAGTGTCAGTGGACCCACAGGACTTGGCAGTGTGCATCCGAGTCCTGGAAGCGTTCCACGGTAACATGGAAGCCCTGAAAGCAGCGCCATTCAAGGCGCTTCGACGGGCCATGGTGCCGCTCTGCGAAGATGTTCGCACCCGCCTCTTCCACGGCAAGGATGTCGCAACGTACGACGACACAAAGAAGAAGAAGCAAGACCGGAAGCGAAAGGCGGCACAGGCGGCCGCCCTGGACAAACACTTCATCAACAACACCAAGCTGCGGTCCCAGCGGCTGCAAGCACTGGACTCGCTGACCGCGGCGGCACCGATGCTGGCCCTCGTTGCCGACGGCGCCGTGGTCGACGACGCCCCTGACGTATCGATGGATGGTCAGACGGATAACCAACCGCCGCCAACCTTGCACGGCTTCCGCTCCTGCTACGCGTGCAAGAAACGCTTTGACACGCTGCACCACTTCTACGACCAGTTGTGCCCCGACTGTGCCACGCTCAACTTCCAAAAGCGACTGCAAACGGCAGACTTGACGGGGTACATTGCGTTGGTCACTGGCGCTCGCGTCAAAATCGGGTACCACACCGCCCTCAAGCTGCTCCGTGCCGGTGCCACCGTCATCGCCACCAGTCGATTTCCCCAAGATGCTGCCATTCGATATGCCAATGAAAGCGACTATTCCACGTGGAAGGTATATATGATATTTCTTGATGACGTGGCATCATCACACGAAGTACGACAAACGATCGCCTTGGCTCATGTGTATGATGGTAGACTCGACTTCACGTGTACGGACTGGACTTGCGCGATTTGGCCGGCGCCGAAGTGTTTATGGACTGCATCGAGCGCACGTTTCACAGCTTGGACATCCTCGTCAACAACGCCACGCAAACCATCCGTCGACCCACGCATTACTACCAAGTAAGCGACAACCTGCAACAACTCGCGCAGCAACACTGCCTCTGTACTAATGGTTCTTATGACAAACGTAGCATCTGTTGCCCAACGAACGCCGGGCGCCAGCCGACACGCCCGAAAACATTCGCGAAGTCTTGAGCGGCAACCACTCGTTTCAGCGCGCGCTGGCTGTAAGCATATCTCGTCACGTAACATCTGAAGCCAATACGCACATGGCTAGACGCCACACCAGCCATTGACGCTCACACACGCGGCGTCCACGGACCCCATCACGGCACCGACAAACTCTGCCAACGACGCCGCATTGTCGGCGACCACGTCGACACCAACGGCCAAATCGGCAGAGTTGTCACAGCTTCCCTTGACCAAGGACGACAAGGACCTGACGGCGGACGAACGCGCCGCCTTGTACCCCGTGGCGCAGTACGATGCCAACAACCAGCAAGTGGATCTGCGCAAAACCAACTCGTGGAAGCTCAAAATTGACCACGTCGAGTCGCCAGGTAACGCGATTCGTTTATTCATTCCCCTTGAACTCTCTCTAATATTTAAACTCTTGTTGTAGAGCTGGCCGAAGTGTTTGCGATCAATGCGCTGGCCCCGTTTATCTTGAACAAGCGCGCGATTTTGCTGTTTGAAAAGGTACACAGGAATATGGTTTCGGTTCTAACACGTGAAAGCAGAGCGCCCGCCCCCATCATTTTATCGTGAACGTGAGCGCGATGGAGGGCAAGTTTTACCGGTACAAGACGCCCCATCACCCCCACACCAACATGGCCAAAGCCGCCGCCAACATGATGACCCGAACATGCTCGGAAGAGCTCAAGACGCGTCATATTTACATGAACTCGGTCGACACGGGCTGGATCAACGACGAAAACCCACGCGACAAGGCCCAGGAGATCGCCGCCAAGCACAATTTTCAGGTACTCATAAACAGAAATGTCATGTGGTTTCGACACAAACATGTGTGTTTGCTCATTGTGAATTCGCTACAAACTTCCAACATTCGCGTGGTTTGTCGAACAAACAAGATTGAATCACGCTGGAGTTCGTTCTGATTGGTTGAATATCCTTGTTATTTCTATAAGAACCAATCAAATCCACTCAAAATGGGATTAGCCACTAGCGTCGATTCGTGATTCCGCGGCGAGATTCGATTATTCGATGGGGTCTGGAAATTTATTTGTACCGAATAGCCACAATAAATACCGTGTGGATATGTTTTTGCCACTTTTATACTCGAGGGACTGACGAAAACGGCGGTAGACGCCGTTGGATGAAATCGACGCGGCGGCGCGCATCTTGGACCCGATTTTTGGTGGCTTCCAAGACATATCCAAACCGCTAACGTTTCCCTCGGGCGAGTTCTTCAAAGACTACCAACGCTCCGAGTGGTAAAAGTAGTTCTAGACGAAAGCTTAGACAGGTACTGTACACAGAGATTGTCAGGTCGGGTCGATTTTGGAGTGGGGTGCTCAGAGCCGAATGACCGACCAATCAAAAGCCAGATCACTTTCAAGTGACCAATCAAAAACTCCTGCTTCGATCGAATTAGTGTGTGCATTCAAATAGTGTGAAGGCTTCACAATTTTTACATACAACATTCAACAATATCCAAATTTTGGCTGATAGCACAATCCATATACAAGTTGTCGGGACGGTCACGACGCACCAAGTGCATTTGTTTCAACGAAAACACTGGCCTTCGTAGGTGGTTTGTACTTACTAACCACCATAGCTCGTGGGAGAGGAATACATCGAGCCATATGAAACGCAATATCGCGTTTCGACGTGTTATATACTTCGAAGTACGTATGTTCAACGGCTACAGTGCTGTAGCGACCATCCTATTTCAACTCAAATACAGCGCGACGTTGGCTGCGATTTGCTTTGCACGGCTTGGATCGCGGCAGTGTCATTGACTTGCGGCGCGTACATGTCTCGAAAATGTGATGTGTCATCGATAATAGGATAAATCTTAACATATATAGATAGACTTTTCAACCTATTCAAGAACATTGGGGATATACAAAGACTTGCCACGGGTCCTAGTTGCTGTTGGTAAACGTGACGTTTTGAACATTCGGCCGGTTGCCACGCAGCCATTCGTTTGTCGAGTCGACGTTGGGAACTGGAACGCGTTGCCAATCAATTTCTTTCCCAACAGGTCGCATGACGTGAATTGCAGCGGCTGAAAGATGCTATCGTGTGACGTGGCAGTCCTGCCGACTGCGTGTACCCGAGCTCTGTGCACCGCTGATACGTCCACTGGTGCTCGATGCTTTTGCCATCAAATTTCGTGGCCGTGAACGCCGCTTGTACCTGCCCAACGAATCATAATCTTCAAAAGCAAACGTTGATCTGTCTCGAAGCTATCGAAGACGTCGTACTCATGCCAGACGACGTGTGAAACGTCGACATAAAGCACCCGACGGGGCTCGTCATGGCCAAGTACCCCGCCAGTTGGGCCAGCGGTTTCTCATTCGCGACGGACGCAAAGTAGTCGCATGTGCAGAGGACATCAACCGGGTCAAAGTCGTTGTACTGGGCCACGCCTTGGAATTGGTTCTTCACTTTCCAGCACCATGGCGTCCATATCGTTGGTCAGGGGCTCGCACAGCGTCAGCACGTCGTACAGCGCGCCGCTTGTTCCATTGGAAGACGTAGCATCATGGTGTGCGGCGTGCTTTCCTTGCTTCTTCTTCAACGACTTCTTGGCATCCTTGGATGGAACAGTGGCCAATGCTTCGACAATTGCATCGTCAAGCGCTTGCAGGGCATGTCGAATCGACATACCGCAGGCCGCTCCCCCCACACGGGTGAAATCGTTGCTTACCACTTGCATGTATTCTTCATCAACAAAGTAAGTTGTGGGAATTGGTAGTACTAGAAGTACCCTTGTAATCGGCCATGAGCAGCACGGGCGCGGAGCTGGCAATGCTGCCAGCCACCAACTGCGGATACTCTTCCTTGAACCACACAGCCAAATTGCCGGGGTAGCTCCCGCCAAACGCAATCCACTAGCTGCCGGCCACTTTGTACTTTTAGACGACGTGGCCATGGAACCGAGCGAGGTCTTTCAATGCTTGGGCGATGATGGTCAAATGCGCCAAGTTCTCGACCGTCATGTCTGGCGTGGGGTAGGACTGCCCATAATACCGATGCTCGAGCGACAACAGCAGCGCTTTGTGTTGGATGACCAGCGTGTTGATGAAAAACATCTCGTGGCTTACGTCGGTGGGCTGGATAGGCGCTTCGCCGCTGACATACTCGACATGAGTATACATGTAGACATGCTTTGGACGCCCTTACCCGATCATGAAGAACACCGGATATCCAGGACCGCCCCAGTATTCGTCGTTGACGTAGTAGCGCTGCCGCCAGTACGATGGCGTCGTTGCAAAGTGATCCACGACGGCCTTGGTAAACACATGCGGCTTCAATGGCGTCACGTCATCAAAGAGGATGTCTTCTTTCTCGTACATGGGATCAATCGTCTCGAGGTTCAAGTGTGGGTCAAAAACGCTGACTCTAGATGGGACTTGAAGGCCTTTGGCAGCTGCGCAATCCTTCAGTCCTTCGTCTTCAGGAGCTTGATCTCGTGGGGGTCGAACGGTGTTCCGATCGCTGCGGAAGCTTCTTCCCATTGGGCACCCAAGAGAACTGCATCTAGAAGAAGAATTCTGCCACGGACCTGCATCTTGTCCGTGAAATGAGATGTCCTTGCATGAAAGCCATGCTGCCAGATGACTTTTACGATCGACCACGATGTATCCGGATGTAACCATTTATCCGGAAAACCTAGCAAAATATTGATTTCAAGTAAAAACCTACTTGATTCGTCATAATGATCTTGTTTTATCCAATCAAAGGACTTTAATCCATCATTCCACAGATTTGGGGCGGGCACCGTTATCCACACACGCGAAGGAGCCACCATGTCCGACTACGACTCCGATTCCAATGGCCGATCAAACAAGAAGAACTTCAGAGGACGGGGACAGCGATCGGTGGGCCTCGCCAGTAGCCGAAGCGTCTTTGATCGATTGGACCAGGGCGAGTCCAAGGCCGCGAACGCCGGTCAAAAGAGTGTGGAAGGATACGTGTTGTTCGTGAGCAACGTGCACGAAGAAGCGCAGGAGGAAGACTTGCTGGATGCGTTCCAGGAAGTGGCAGAAGTCGCCAACATCCACTTGAACTTGGACCGCCGCACGGGGTTCGTGAAGGGGTATGCGCTGTTGGAATTCAAGGAACTCGACGACGCGAAGGAAGTGATCAAAGAAATGAACAACAAAGACCTGCTGGGCAACGAACTCAAGGTCGACTGGGCGTTTGTCAAGGACGGAGGAGACATCAAGGGAGGACGACCCTCGCAACAGGCGCCGCGCAGTCGACGACAGTAGATAGCGATACCTCATGTTGTCATCCTCATAAAGCGGCATTTCCATGGCGACTTGTTGTGATGATACCACCATACTGCATTTACACTTTACGCAATCCACCTTGTTCTCGTGCCATACTAGTATCAAGGATCGAATCGAAATGATTGCTTCTATGGTGATGTTAATGCTAGACTGATCCCATCATGGGGATAGCTGTGTCAAACATGGACCGCTTCTGTGGTCTTAACAGTTGTCGGCGGCCGAGCAGAAATGCCAGTCCCCAGAAGAATGCGGTCATGGTGAGCCATCCATAGGCAAAGAACAGCAGCCGCTGAAGCCCGCCTTTGCCTGTGACGCTGCACATTGGGTTCAGCACTTCACTGTCCAGGACCTCGTCCACGACGGTGCCGCAGTCCGGGGCCCACTGGTCCTTGAGGTACCCGAGCAAGATGGGGGACGGCACGTCGCCGAGCAAATGGAGCAAAAACGTGCTCAGCCCCAGCGCAAACCCTTGGCGACTGCGGGTCACGCTGAGCAGGACACACACGGTGAACGCGGACTGTGTCATGAAGAGCAGGACGAGGCCGCCAAAGAGGAACGCCAAGAAGGCGGCGGCGACGTCCATCATCGCAGCCGACCCAAACACGCACGCGACGCCACCCGACACGAGCACAAACATTTGCCGCGTGACCACGTACAGCCGGTGGTCGGCGTCCGACTCCTGGGCTTTGCATTGAAAGTCCACGGCAAATCCCCCAAGGGGGGACCCTACGAGCCCCGCGAGCACGACAATGCCGCCAAACGCCGTCGACGCGTACTTTTCGTCGAGGATGTTGGATCCAATGAGAATCGCCGGGCCGAACGATGCCAGGCCGGCCAGGGTAAAGCTGTACGCAGCCCAGCCAAAGGTCGCGGTGAGGAAGAGTGGCGACTGCATGACGCTCCACAGCTCTGGCAGGAATGAGATGGTCAGCGAACTGCCTCGCCGCATGTCGTCCGCAATCACGTCTTGGTGGGGCTGCGTGGTTTCTTGGATCATGGGCAGATCAAAGCGGGCGGGAATGCCGGTGTAGCACATGTACGCGAGGGGCGCCATAGCAATCGCGGTGAGGTAAAAGCCCCAGTCCCACCCGATGGTTTGGGCGGTAAGACTTCCGTACGAGTACCCGAGCGCTGTGCCTGCCGAGATGGCGCAGCCAAAGAGCCCGAGCCACAGTGTTCGCTTGTGAGGCGGAGCGTGCTGGTCGATGAACGACGGGGTTACCGCTTGGAACGAGGACTCCCCCACGCCGCTGAGAAGGCGACCCACGAGAAGCAAGTAGTAATTCTTCATGGGCCTGGCGAGGCCACAAAGGGCGATGGACAGTGTCAACAGAATTAGACCAAACGCAGCCAGGCGGAACGGACGCCGGCGGATCGAGAGGTACCCGAACACGCAGATGAAGACGGAGTACGACGCGATGAACACTGACACGAGAAGCCCAATGTAAATGGACACCCGGTCCGCAGCGATGTCCAGAGTGTGGTGAATGAACCATTGGAACTGAATGGGAGCACCAGGCACGATGCCGCGGTCAATGTAGTTGAGGACGTTGATGACACAACAGCGCAAAGATGTGCTTGACGTTGGTGATCTGCATGATTTGTGGTCGTGGCTGTGCACTTTGAGAAGTACGAAAGGGCATGAAGTGAGTGAGGAGACAAGGACATACTGTAACGTTAATTGGACATGGCCACTCTTACAGCGACTAATCGACCAAGAATTCCCAGAGGCTGGAGGGTTTGACGTTGGCCGTTTCATATGCATCTTGAATCATATGATCATGGACAAGCGCTCAAAAATAAGCCAATCAGACTAGTCCTTTTGAGAACCCTAGTTTTTCGCGAGCAAAAATGGTGATCCCCCGCGACGACAGAGGATACCTGTTGACGTGAACTGCCGCAGAGGACAAAGATGGCACGGCCGATACTTAGTACATGAACTGATTGATATTTGCACTGATTATTGGACGAATGTCTAGGATGATGTGTCTGGATTGCCACGATAGCAGACGTCGCTGGCGCAAGTCGGACGTTCAGGTTGCGCACGTTACTGTAGCCATGATTGATCTGATTGATACAAGGGGAAGCGAGTTTCAAGTGAAATGCCATCATAGTTTATTCAAGTCTAATGACGAAACTACCTCTGTCATGATTGTGATGACAACTCGCGCCTGGATGTTGTGTGGCTAGCAAAAAAATCAGTTTCACCAGTTGTCGATCGCGTAAATGCTTTTTTCGTTCTAAAGATTCGATATGCATGCGACGTTCAGGAGGACGCAAAACATTACGGTAACAGCAGAAAGGAATGAGAAAATGCCTCCCCAACCCCCCAATATTTACTCAACTTGGTGAATCACAAAAATAACTTACCCGTACAACTCCAGAGTGCTTGAAGATTACTGTATGTACACATGGTGCCATCCACATTTTTAGCAGCACAACGCTCCATGGAATTCGGTAGATTTATGCACTGCAAAATGGGTCATGCAACGGTACGACAGTTCGAGCACGCGAAGTTTGATGTTATAAATAATACGCCCCGGGCATGGCATGACGGGGGTCTATATGAGTCCAAGAGCACCGAAGACTTGAGTTGACGGCGGCGTTATTTCCTGGCAATGCAGTAGGACAGCCCCCACATAAACGCCGACTACCCCAGCCACAGGATCGCAAACGCTAGCACTCGTTGCAGGCCATCTTTGCCGTCAACGACACATTGCAGATTGAGGCTTTCGCGACCTTGGGGGTCAATGACTCTGCGCAAAATTGACACTGATTGGGAGGATTGGGTCATAAACAGCAGCAACAACGACAGGAACAAGCAGCCCAGGCATGCCACCGGTACGTACAGAAGCATCCATGACAGAAACGCCATGGAAGTGCCGACCGCGACCAGCCAGAACATTTGACGAGTCGCGATAAACAGCTGGTAATCGGCTGCGTTGCCCCGGCCTCGGCACTGACAGTGCACTGCGTAGCCCCCCAAGGGGAACCTATGAGCCCCGTCACGACGATCATCCCCCAAACACCGCGGCAGTCAATTGCTCGTCCAACACGCCCGTGCCGATGAGAATGCCGGGCCCGAACGCCCCCGTCGGCGAGCGTAAACACGTACACGGCAAAGCCAATGCTCGACGTCAAGAACATCAGCGTGGATAGAATCACCATCGCTTCGCTGATCAGCGTACTGACAATGGCGGTATGTTGGTGGTCCACATCGGCAGTGACGTTGATGATGTTGGTGTTTCGGTTGTTCAAGCAAGGCATGAGCATTTCCGCCGTGGCGGTCGAGGGGTCGTACCCGACGCATGGGCCAGACGGAATCCATCGGAAACTCAGGTACGCCAACGGCACCACCGCCCCCCCGAGGATGTAAAAGCCGACGTCCCCCCACACTTTGGGCAGTGACGGACCCCAACGAGCACCCAATGGCCGAGCCGGCCGAAATGGCGCACCCAGCCCAGCCAAAGCGTTCGCTTCTGGGGCGGGGCGTGCTGGTCGATGAAGGACGGCTCGTAGACTTCACTAAGAGCTCGTGCGACTACGAGAAGGGGAAAACTGCCGAGGGGGCCTTGCAAGACTCTGGGCGACAATCCAAATGAACAGACCCGCGGCGATAAGGAGGAATGGGTGTTGCCGAAGTGAGAGGTAACCGAAGACGCAGATGGAGAGCGAGTAGGACGCGACGACGAGGACACGAGCAAGCCAATGTACAGTACACATCGACGTGCAACTAGACACTGTAGCCCATCGAGGTGGAAATCTCCCTAGCATCACACCAGGGAATGACAAGCATCAGAAGGAATATCGGATTGCATGATGACAAAGTCTGTCTGCTGGGAAGTTCGGCGTTAACGTTAACTACCCGATTTTTCGATAACCCTTCCACTAACTGTAAATAATGCCCGACCTTTTCACACCTTATGCCAAAACGTTATTAATACCACCATGTACAATCTCCAACGTCGAATCCAACAGATTGGGGGCTCAGCAATAGTGTACCTACAGTGTTGTTGCACTGTCGTCAACCAACAGTATCACTTTATCCAAGCTCCAGAAGTTGCATTCTCGTTCATACAGTATATCTATCCCCTATTCTTCCATGTCACTGCCACTGGACGAGGTCGACAATCTGGATCGACTGCGACGCCCCCCTCCTGCATTGGTTGGCTCGTCTTGCTTCTTAGCTTCGTCCTTGCCGTTCGTCGGCGATCCCTTCGCGGGGGACAGCCGGGCGGCTTCTCGCTTGTGTTGACCTCTGTGGCGACTGGGGCTTCGGCTAAATGATCGGCTGCGGCGACGATGCCGCGACGGGGGGCTTCGGGACGACGACCGGAACCGTCCGCGTCGACGATACGACGGCGATCGGCTGCGACTGTTATAGCGCCCACGTCGAGGGGGAGACCCCCGGAAGCGGCGCACGGGGGACCGGCTACGATCTCCCCGACGACGCGACCGACTGCGGCTGAGGCTACGAGTCCGACGATTCGGTGAACGTCGAGACGGCGAAAGATTCCGGCGCACTGGAGACCGACTGGGTGATGAACTGCGTCGTCTCAAGGGGCTTCGAGGGGACCGCGGGGGTGGAGTGGGCGTGCGGCGTCGGCTGGGCCGCTTGGCATCCTCTGGAGAACGAGGCGGCGACCGCTCTTTGCGCTTGCGAGATGAATTGGCTTCATCGTGGACGGAAGCTGTTTGCTTTGGGGTCAAAGCTCGCGTCTTGTCGCGGCTGCGGGATCGGTCCTTGGTGCTTTCCCGACGAGGCTTGGACTTGTGGTTTTCCGACTCGGATTCACTTGAAGAATCTGACGACGAATCGCTGGAAGACGAAGATGATGAACTTGACGAGGAAGACGAGGACGACGAGGACGATGACGGCGAGCGGCGGCGGCGGCGTTTCTCTTTGGACGAGGATTCCTTCTTCGACGACTTGGAAGGCGACGACGACTTGTCGTCATTGTTCGTAAGTCGAGGTCTCGCGGATCGCTCCTCGCGTTCGCGCTGCTTGCGGTCGTACTCGTTCATGCGCTCGAGGCGGCGCTGTTCTTGCAAATCCACATCGAAACTCGTGCCTTCCACATAAGTATCTCGGATACCGAATGCATCCTTGAGGGCCGCCAGCTCCTTTGCCTTTCGCATAGCCTTCGCGTGACTGCTGGCATGCTTCGAGTCGTCGTGGCGACGAGCGTCAGTCTCGATGCGTGCTTGGACTTTCACGCGATACGCAGCGCACTTCTCCTCGATCTCATCTTCGTCACACCCTTGTTCTTCCAACTCGTCTCGTAGCTCCATCACCTTGACTTCTACCTGTCGCTTCTTCTCATGGAGCAAGATTTCCTTGTTCACAGGTTGCTTGTTGTGTGGCTCTTCCAACATCGCGTACTTCAGCTGCGCCTGCCGCTCACGTTCTCGGATGTGCGCGGGCTTGACGTAGCTCAAGTTCCGCATCACATACCCATTCGTGCCCGACCCACGCGCCGTGCGCAACCCAACGCCATTGTACGACATCCTTCCTTGTTCGTGAAAATGATGCTTGCGCCGCTCAACCACAAATATGGGACTGAGAGAAGATTCTGTTCTGGAGGTTTCATTTTCACCAATGAAACGAGAGAAAACAAAATTCTAGCCAATCATAGTGGAGTAGGCTCAGTTTCAATCAATCAAAAATCGCCATCAACCTTTCTCAAAAATATGGAATAAAAACACTGTAGAATGTCAAAACGTTGAATTCATACGAAAAAACGCAAAGTAATGTAAAAATGATACAAAAGAATTTCAATGTGCTCAAAAAGTGAAGCTGATGGCAGACGGTAATCTGCAACATGATGTGGCCAACGCCGAACCGGCCACCGAGACTCGCGAGTCCGATGGCGAGTACGAAGATGGAGGCAGCGCTACGAGCATGTACGCTGAGTTCTGGATGCATGACCTTGTTGAGCTGGGCAATGTCGACGTGTTGAAGGCTGCGTTGGACGAGGACGAAGAAGGGTTCCTCGTGTCGCTCAAGGAGGTTGACGACATGGGCTGCACACCACTCCACACGGCGGTGCTGCATCCCGTCGAGTCGGTGCTGTCGTTTCTCTTTACGTTTGGCCCGGAAGCTCTCGGCCTCGAGACAGCCTGCAATGGCACGCCACTCATCCACCTTGTCCTCCGCATGTGCACGTTTGCAGAGCATCGCGCCGTCCTCCTCCCAATCCTCCGCGTGCTTCTCACGTACGACACGTTCATGGCGACCGCCATCCATGGCAAAGATGACGTCGGCAACACCATCTTCCATGTCGCCGCCATGGCCAACGTCCTGGACGTGTTCGTGCAGCTCGAGCCGTCCGTTGCCGCGCTGGAGGTTCGCAACCGAGTGAGCGAACGTCCTCTACACATCGCGATCAAGTTCCGAAGCTCTCATGTCCTTCAATCCCTCGTCCACGACCACCACGTGGACATCGCCGCGCCCACTTCGTTCGGGATGACTCCTCTCCATCAGGCCGCCGCGTCGCCTGATGCGACCGCCATCTTACCCGTTTTGGACCCCGACTGGCACACTTCCACGTGCAAGAACGGCCTCAACCAGACCCCCCTCGATGTGTACATTGCCACCACTCAACATCGCTTGCCAGGAACGTCCTGTGGCTTTTTGTATCATCCAGATGCGATGGAGCACTTGCCGATGGCCGGTCACGTTCGCGGCAAGGACGAACCGCCTCCAGAGAACTTTGAGCGCATGAAGAGCTTGGTCTCCCCTGGACTTGGCATTTTGCGCACGGCCGAATTTAAGTCGAGTCCCGTGACGTGGAGCCACGACATCCCGAAGGCCGACATCGCCGACGTGCTGCGCATCCATGACGTGGCATATGTTGAGAAACTGAAAACCCTCTGTGGACGAGTTCCGATCGATGTACGTACGTCCTGTCAATAGTGTTGTTCGTGGGCGGTTGTATGCATCCTCTGTTTGCATATATTTCACCCAAATTTGAGGCATTTCGCCCAATAGCATTCGAATCCATTTGATCTCATTTAAGCTTGTACTACAATAAAACGAATAGTATATATGTGGTTTTATCCAATGCGAAGGGGTCAAACGTTTGGACTCACCAGAACGTGATTTGATTGGCTTGGGCGGTTCTTAAATCCATTCTCTTTAGACATTCGATTCTGCCGAGGGCTCCAGTTTTGACAATATGAACTGCACCTGTGTATAAAAAACAATGTTTTTTAATCGAATAAATACATATGTATTGTATATATTATATATATTTGAATACAATCTGATATTATTTTGAAGTGATGATGGGTGGTATATCAGGTTTTGATGATGGACTGTAGGTACCCGCGGAAGAGTTGTCGGCATATTGCTTGGATGCAGATACCGCCTTGTCCCGGGACTCGTACGAAGCGGCACTGCGGGCGGCCGGCAACGTCTGCGCCGCCGTGGACAAGGTACAGTAGCATGGCTAGAAGGAGTAGTGTAGAGCATATGTTTGCATGAACCATCACGATCATAACGCCGCAGATATATGGATTGACTCCGCTGAAAATGACATGCTGTATATGTATGTAGGTGGTGGCAGGAACCACGCGCAATGCGTTTTGCATCGTGAGACCTCCAGGACATCATGCCGGACCTGTTGGAAAGGTCACATGCGACCACGATCGAGTGGGCAGTCATGGCTTTTGTCTGCTTAACAACGTCGCCATCGGGGCCTCTTACGCCCGCAGTCACTTTAAAGCGCAGGTGTTGTCCTGCTTTGAGTCAAAATTTGAACTTTTGTGCGGATGGTTGCTAAACCCATCGATCGATTGTTTGTACTGACTTTTGTATGTAAAAATGTCGAGCAGTTATGCCCATCACACTAATTGACGTCGCACTTAGTTGTTTCTTGGTGGAACTGATGATTTCCTGCAATCTGATTGGCTAAATATTTATGCCGATTCTTCTGCGCATATATTGGCGCGTAGCTCCAGTTTTGAATACACACAACAATACCTCGTTGGATTCATCGCAAATAGGATGGATAGTGTCCATTCCACCCAAATGTGGAGCCGATCGCGATTTGTTGTACTGAATTTTGTATGTGAAGAGCGTTCTGGTTGTGCTGTGGGTTTTGATTTGGTCGATCAGTGATTGTCTGCCTGATTTGGCGCTGGCTCAATCGATTGAGCACCCCACTCCAATGATTTCGACTCGAATAGATAGACATACTAATATGTTTGTTAAATATATGTTTGTTTACAATGTATGTTATTAACTGTTTGCTCCTGTAGGGTATCAACAAGATTGCAATCTTGGATTTTGACGTGCACCACGGCAACGGCACGGAAGAATGCATTCGACACCTCGTGCACCGGGTGCAGGACGTGCCGTTCGAAACGCCCTTTGTGTCTGGCACCCACCGCACCCACCAGTACAAACCGTGGCGCAGCGAAGAAGACGTTTCGAACGTGTTTTTTTGCTCGATCCACGGGTATGGCCCAAAGGACCCCAAGCAGGAATTCCCGCCCGGTCAGTATGCTGGTGCGTGGTTCTACCCTGGATCTGGCGAGTCCACCGACAAGCCAACCGACAAGGACCAACCGATCATCATCAACGTGGGTCTGCCCTACCAGCGCGGCAACTTGGCGCGGCAGGAGTGGCGTCGGGTGCTTCGGAGTGACATCTTACCCCAACTGGTTGCGTTTGAACCGGATCTGATCTTCCTGTCTGCTGGCTTTGACGGCCATCGCTCCGAAAACGTCAACTGGGGGTATATATATATTATACCACTGATTTATTGGAATGACAGACACTGTTCTGTGTTTTCAAGTTTAGGGAAAACTGACGGTATATATTGTATATGTGCATAGGTATGTGGGCCTGATGGAGCACGACTTTGAATGGCTGACGCAAAGCGTGGTCAAAGTGGCCAATAAGGTGTGCAATGGCCGTGTGATTTCGGTGCTCGAAGGCGGGTACAACTTTCATGGCCGCATTGCGTCGCCGTTTTGTAGAAGGTATATATATATGTTGTATCGTGTTTTTGGTTCATTGATATTGTCGTTTACACGTCAATTTGCAACATTCCCTTGAAATTCATTTGATCTAATGCAATCTTGTATACACTCTACGATCGCGCCAAATAGCACTCGAATCTATTTGATCCTATTTAATCTCGTACACACTATACAAATATTGGTATATATCTTTTTGACCAATGCGGAAGGACCTGGGCCGAATCGAACGTTTGGATTGGCAGAAATTCGACATATGTGATTTGCATTGACTCGGGCGGTTCTTTTAATTCCTTCTCTTAAGACATTCGATTCGGCTGAGGACTCCAGTTTCGAATCGATTTGAATCTGTTGTGATTTGACGGCTAGGCGAATTGCCAAATCTATTTAATCCTGGTGGCAAGTCCAATTGCAAACCCTTATTGACATTTACAACGTTTGTTGCTTGAAGGATGGATGACTATGTTTGAATTGTAATTGCATTTGCCTTATTTATCAAGGCTAAAAGATGATTCATTCATTCGTACGTGGGTGGTGATGATTCTAGCGTCGCAGCGCATGCACGGGCGCTTGTGGCAGGATCGCAAACGACGGAACCATGGAACGAAGTCGCCATGGCCCACGAAGCCGCCTGTGAAGCCGCGATGATCCTGGACGCGACTGCCAAGAAGCACAAGACGGTGGCCAAGCGGGAAGACGACCCGTCGCGAGATGCGGAGCGAGTGGACAGCAGCAGCATGGAGACGACTCGGACGTCCAAACGAATGCGCAAAGAAGTGGACTACGTTGCGTTGGCGGCGGAACTGACGTGGGAATCAGCAGCCACCAAATAGAAGTGGCTTGCACGTTGCAACAATTGTAACTGATAGACACGATAACAGACCAACAAGTTGCTGTGGATGTGCCAAGAACATATATTTCCACTCGTGGGCTATGCAAAGGGAGCTATCTCACTCATATTGGAGAAACGAACTGCCACCAATGACGCACTCGTTGTTGGTTGTGTGGCTGACAGCAAAGATGGTTCAATACAGTTTCTTGGACCTCCGCAAAACTCGATGAATGGATTGGACTTGTCCATGAGATGCAGTGTTAAAGTAATGCCACCAGCTCGGTTATATTTAGTACATTCATCTTGCAGTTAAGTACTCGACCGGGAGTCTCCCAGTCGAGCAATGGGACGACGTCGGTCAATGGTTTTAGGCGCTAAAAAACTAGACAAATGAGCTATTATTCTTACTTTAAAGGATGGCTGCTTTCAAGCCTACCTGTTGGTTGTCACTATTTATTCACCTCCTTTCTCACTTGGAAAATTATCAAGGACCTTATCGTTCAGTCTGGGCTGTTTCCCTCAGGCCTACATCGAAACTCCGAAGTATAAAATAGTGTTATTAGCTCAATTGGCAGAGTTTTTCATTTACATCACGCGGTTCAAATCCGTTACTTCCTCTGTTCCAAATTACTAGGACATAGTATGCAAAATGCATTTGCTCCATATTAGTGTGTACACTTTACTTGATTATGATTGGCTAATCAGAAAAATACAATGCTATCATTGGCTGGAGTCGTTACAAAATCAAAATTTCAAGGCCACAACATGATGACTTCGGCAGAAGGAACGCGAGCCACTGGCGCTTCGAGTTCACGGTGAAGAACCCCGAGAAATGAAGCGCGGTTGGTGAGATCCATGCATAGAGTACCAATGCGTCACTTAACGGTACTTTTCCAGGGGCGGCAGCTTCAAGCGGTTGTTATATCTGCCCTCCATTCCACGCAGGGCCAAAAGTACCAAGGCCCTAGAATAATTAAATAAACCTCCAATATTTTGTATTTGTTTTCTGATACCTATAATTTTATTCTCTAATTCGATTTCAAAATGGACTGGGGCTGCAAATCGAATAAATTTGGTCAGAAAATAAAGTTTTGGGGTCGCTAGGAAGGGAAATGTCCGCAGTAATAGGAAATATTGTAATTTTCAGGCCCGAAACGCCATTTTGGGACCGAATTCAACAAATCTGAACAAAACATGACTTGCTTGAAGAGTTTTAACCCAAATCCAATAATTCCACGTGGGATTTACTGGTTGACGAGGCCCAAAACGCCATATTACAAAATGGACCTTTTACCTCCATTTTGAAAATGACATTTTGGTTAATCCCATTTTGCAAGCACCCCAATCAAACTCCTAGTACCTTGTTTTCCGCGAGTTGCATCGGCAGTTTCATGCATTATCCGGTATATCCCATCATTGGATCCATCCATGCCTCTTGGTCATCGCATTGTTCGAAAGTGGAAATTGCACTTCAATAAGAAGTATACCATCGGGGAGGCAGTATGAACACCACAGCCAGCCCAAGTATAAGCTTGGGGCAAGTAGAAGATGAACTTCGTGAAGCCGAAGCATATCTGTTCCAAGAGGCCCCGAAAAAGGAAACGTTGACGGACATTGCGCTTCCCACCATGACAGAAGCTCGTCGGAAGGAGATTATTGCTAAACTCAACTCGGAGCGTGCAGCCCTACGTCAACGCAAGACTGCTCCTCCTTCAGCAGACGACGACCGCACGTCCTCCACTTCGTTCTTGGACGCTACAGCGTTCTTTCCGCTGCCGTCGCTCCACCAGCATTCATTTGAAAGTCCAAGTCAGTTCAATTCTATCGATGACAAGAGGTGTGGTGGCGATTCCCGAGATGGCAACGACGGAGCATATAGCGGTGACGAGGACGACGGTAGTTGCTGCAGCATCCCCAACCAAGTCGTGGATCAAGCATTGTTTTTTGTCGCTGTAGGTGACGACAGCATGTACTTCTTGAAGGAACTCGAGCGGTCCGATGGCAATGACAGTCTCTTCTTCGCTTCGGACATTCACAACCTACCCCTGCCTTCCTTCGATCCCTCTTCATTTCCCAGTGAGCTCCATGAGCCACACATCCCATCGCCCCCCACCTCGCCATTTGCCCCAGCTAAGCCGCCTTGCACTTCAGGCAGACCCCCAAAACGAGGGGTTCGATTTCACATTGAGCTCGAACCTGTACGATCTTAGCTTATCCTCGCTGTACATTCTTACGAATATTCTCCTTGTAGCCAGCTCGAAGCATTGCACCGTCAACGGCTACTAGTGATAATCCACCCCACCCCACGACCAGAGCATCAGTCACACCCAAGAGACTCATTTCATCGAGTCCGTCGAGCTCCCATCCTAGCCCAGCCCATCAATCCAGCTCACCACCACCACCACCACCACCACCACCACTTCCATCGCCCAAGGTAGCCCCCAGCTCAAACCAATCATAATCCCATCGTTATCATGCGATTTTGTGGCTGACAGAGAGCTGTCATGCGTTCGTCGTGTGCAAAGCCACCAGCTCCACCTTCGTCCACACAGCAATCGAAACGCATGAGCCAACTCGCTCGATCCGTTGACTATACTGCGCGAGAAAAGACAAAAGTCGCGCAAGATATGGCCACGCTGACCTCCACGTGCTCGTTTCGCCCAGCGCAGTCTTCTCGAGGTACGTTCCTGGCAACTCCAATCATTTGCAATGGTGGAATACAAATATAAACTTTGTTCAAACGCTAAATGTAGCTGCACAAACGTTAAAGACGCCCGAGAAGGCTAGACGGTCCAAGGCAACAGCCCATTCCAAGCCACCTCCGTCGTGGAGCCCACACAAGAAAGCCAAGGTGGACGAGCTCACGGAGCGGTTGCATGTGGAAGGGGCGCTTCGCTTTGAGCTTCGTGAGAAAGTCAAGCAAGTGCTCGACGACCAGCGGGTTCGGGCTACGTGCACGTTCAAACCAAAGATCAATAGGAACAATCGGTCAGTACTGGGACATACAACAAATCAAAAACCCATTCACACTCGGCTCCCAGAGCTGCAGCGCCAAAAGGTAGGAAAGGCGTGGTATTTGTGCCGTACTTGAATTCATGTTGAGGATACTGGTGTTTGCAGAAGGAAATGCTGCGGCAGTTGGAGCACGCCATCGAAGCCGAGAGCCAACTCACGTTTACGCCCACAATCAACGCCCACAGCCACAAATTGACACATGATATGACGAAAATGGACGTGACGGATCGACTCGTGCAAGACGCCGAAGACACTGCCGAAAAGAAGCTGCAAGTGCAAGCGTACTACGCAGCTTTGGTAAGGGCCCTATACAGTTTTTGACAAGGATAACTCTGAAAAGCTCATCGATTGCACTATCTGTGGATTGGACAGGATGTGCCAGCGTTTGTCCCGTGTGTGAATGAGCGCAGCAATGCAATTGTCGAGAAAAAGCCCGAGTTCAAGGTATATATATTTTTATAACACCTGCGAACGAGCGATGTTCCGATTCAAAAACGTGGCGTGTTTTTGTTGTAGCTGGACTTTGTCGCGAGGCAACAACTGCTACATGCGCAGATGGAGCAGAAATTTGAGGCGAAATTGGCGCTGGAGGAGCGGATTCAAGCGGAAGAAAAACCTTTCCAGCCGTGCATTGGCAACTCAAATCAAGTGCTGCAGTACACGCGACCAAAGCGTCTTGTTGAGTCCACTCAAGCGCAACTCTATCGCATGACCTATGAAGTACCGTCGTTATGAAAGGCTAGCTCTAAGCAACGCGTGTGTGTGGTTTGACATAGGAACCTCGGCAGCGAGCGCTAGTGAAAAAACGACTGGAAGACGAACAGTACGAAAAGTTTAGTCACAAGCCGACGTTGAACCCCGTGTCGAATGCGCTCGGGCGACCCACGTCCATTCACAAACTGGCTCAAGTACTAATACTACTACTTGGTCGATGATTGATTTCAACAAGATCGTATGGCTAGAAAGCGCCGACCAAGATGATCCGATCCCGAGTCGTGCGGGACATGGATGCCCAAGCTCAAGCCGAATGCCGGTTTCGGCCGGAATTGGTGGCTGTCGACGATGCAGACCTGGACCGCACCACTGTGTGGAACCCAGACGTGCGAACACCATGTCATTATTTCAAAAAATATGTGACCAATCTCGGGTGTTTATTAGACGTGCTTGCAGCAGATTGAACAGGCGCGAATGACGCGTCGGCAAAAACTCGAAGATCAGCGGAATTCGCTAGAGTTTCAAGAACTTCAAGCGTGTACCTTTGCCCCGACCATCAACAAATCGACGACAAAGCCGTCGAGAGGTCCGGTGGTGGTCCGCGGCCTTGGCAGGTTCCTGGAGCTCAAGCAATTGGCCAAACGTCAAGTAGCCGAGCGAAAGTACGTGTGTTGTCATAGACTTTTGCATGTTGTTTTTGGCATGTGATTGAAATTGCCCAACTAGGGAACGCGAAGCAAAAGTGTTCACCCAAACTCGAGACTACACGCCTCGGGCGTACACGGTGCCTCAGCCGTTCAACCTCTCGTTCGACCAACGGCGACGGGCGCGTGAAGAGCGGCTCAAAGCTGAAATGGACGAAAAAGAGCTTGGCGAATGTACTTTTCAGCCACATACAATGGAGCACAAGAATCGCAGACTCATTCATAGACTCTTGGAGCAATCTCAAGAACTATAAATATACTTGTGCAAAAAAGCAGACTGTGCATGTGTATACTTGCTTCGCATGCTAACCCAATTGCCAATTGCTAGTGCACAAGCGGCAGTTACATATTCACCAAACGGCGGGACAGTTACGAGGGAAATGGCACACGTTCGAAATTCGAACGACCCCAGTGCCCTTTCGGCCGGTTTTTCGAACATCGTCGTCTTTGTACACATGTCCACGCTCGACTACTGTAGGTATAACTCTAGTCATTTCAAAATTAGTGTCGAATTTGCCATGAAGTCGGAAGAGATTTGGAACGCGATCAAGGACGAACTGCTGGCGCTCAGTGTCCAAGATGTGTACATGATCCTAAATGTCGTGTGTTTGCTTGTGTTTGTGTATTATTTGGTCTGTGTGGTGCTTGGCGTGGCCCCCAAGGAAAAGAAACCGGATCCGACCTTGCTTAAGGCGTACTCGTTTGGGCACTGGTGGCTGTGGACACTACTGGGCGTGGCCAACCTGAGCGAGCGAGTGTTTGGGATCACGATGTTTGCCATTCCCGTGGAAAGACTCAAGGAACTCCTTCGATCTACCCCCAAAGAAGCCGACCAATTCTTTGGAGACCCCGCCACGACCATCGAGCTGTTTGACACCGTGATCGATGACCTCGCGAAAACGTCGACGCTGTCTGCATATGGTCGGTATATGGTGACGAAAGACCTGACGGCGTCCCTCTTGGCTCGCAAGGCGTTCATGGAATACGTCGTGGAACACCCCGAGGTCATTGATGAAACCGTCGAGGCACCAATTGTCATCACGGGCGTTGCTCGCACGGGACAAAACTTGCTCTACAACCTGTTGGCGTTGGATCCGTCCTTAAGAGCGCCACGTCATTACGAATCCGAAGCGATGGCGTACTCCCCCGTAGCCCCCCCCAAGGCCGGGGCCGTGGATTCGACCCACATCTGGCACAATCGAAGCTACCACGCGTGGCAAAGCACATATCGCCTGGTGCCGGAACTGTACGAGTCGCTCGTGGCGGTGCAGTACATGGACCCAATAAGCTTCTGCGACGACACTGTCATTAGCCAACATGTCATGCCATCGACTTTGTATTCCGCGGTACGTTCAGTCCAAAAGTCCATCCATACCATTGTATGCATGCATTCATGGGGGGATATATGTTTGACAGGTGCTGGGGGATGCAGCGAGACGACTGCTTGTGGCGTTGCCCAATGCTTCCAACGTGTACTCGTACCTTCGTCGGTACTTGCAAATGCTACAAACCAACCAAACCATCGACACCACGACCTCCGAAAATAACGCCGCCGCCACGGCAGTTACGTCGACGACGGCACCTAGCAAGGCCACGTCATGGTTGCTGAAAGCGCCGTTCCATGCATCTCATTTGTCTCAGTTGCGTGTGGCGTTCCCGGATGCGCGTGTGGTGGTACTGCATCGACCCATGACCGCCGTCGTGCCCTCGAGGTAATACAACCCAAAACGGGGGGAGATGGGGGCTTATTCGGGGGTCGTTGTCTGTAGTGCCACGCACTTGCTTCGAGTCATGCACCCAGCTTTGAAGGGCAAAGCGTTGGACAAGAAGCATTTGGGGCGAGTCGCGTTGGATTTGTGCAGCGAAAAGGCGGCTGCACTGCATGATTTCCAGTCGTCCAAGTCGTCCAGCGATGTAGTTGATATCTCGTACGACGACCTGGCGGCTGACCCCATTGATGTGGTCAAGACCTTGTACGCCAAGTGGAACAAGGACGTGTCGGACGAGCATGCTGAGAAAATGCAGGCCTATTTGACTGACAAGCCCAAGGTATGTTGTTGGTCCTGCCGCCAAAAAGTGATATCGTTGTAGTACATGCAATATTTATGGGGCTTGTTTGCATAGGGCAAGTATGGGGAACTCAAGTATTCGCTGGAAGAGTTTGGACTTAGCACCTTGGTCGTGGACTCGCTTTTTGCCAAATACTCGACGAAAGGCTCTGAATACATTGGCAACTCGGACCTAGCGTCGTCAGTTCCAGGGTCACCATTGATTCAAACTGCTTAAAACACACCGGTTTTGCATGTTATAAGCTTATGAATACAGTCCGCTGTTTGCATCAAACACACATCCATTGTATTGTGAAGTCAGACCTAGTGCACGTATGGGTCTTTAGCTTTAATGGGTTTTCCTTTTTTAACAGGAAAATCCGCTCAAGTTTTTTTACGTAGGATAAACAACTACATGATTATTTAACAGTGGCGTCAATGTACCCCGACCAGGCCCTAACAGGGTTGGCAAGTACCGAATGTGTTCGTACCGTAGTTAGTACATGCATCAATCGTGGGGTAGGTTGAATTGTTTTATGAACGTTAACGTTATATGGGTGTTTGCATGGCAAAGAAGGAAGTAGTACACCGTTGGTTATTGCTTTTTCTTGGGCTGGATCGAGTGAGCAACCACAGGTTTGGGCGTCAAGTCCCTGATCGAGTTGAGTGTGAGAATGGTCGTGTGGTGGATAAATTCGTTCAAATGAGCCGGGGGCGGGGGTTCCGCCAACACGTGCTTGCACAGGGCCATTCGAGTGTGCCACACCGGCCCTGCCCCAAACACATCGCCGCGATAAATATATATATATATATATATATAGTCCGCATACCGCAACCTCGGTCGGCCCCCGAGTAATAATCGAGCGTCAGATACCCCTTTTCGGGAAAGTTGCCTTCGCCAAGCCACGACTGGTTCAGTTGCCATCCAGGGATGGGGTCGCCACGGTTCCACCCGTACGTTTCATTCTGCCAGTTCTCGCCCTACCACCCCCCCACACACAATCAACACTATCGAATCTTGCAAAACTCGTACGTTGCTACCCAAGTTCTATATATATGCCACATAGATTACCGGTTCGTTCAATGCGAGTTGCACCAATATCTTGGCCACTTCGCGCTGTTCGTACATGGACAGATCCAGCTCGTAATACAAGTCTGGGACCAACGGACTCCACACGTGTAGCCACCCCACACGATACAACAACTGCGCGACTTCGTCGTCTGTGAGCAATGGCAGCACCTACCCCCACACACTCACATCTCATTCAGAACCACCACCCCCAACACGCCCCCCACCTGCTGAAAGTTGTACACGTCCGTGATACGATCAAAAAAGATCAAAATCACATCGAGGCGGGCGGCTTGGAACACCCGCGGCCACATGGTGAGGAAACGAATGGTCTGCTTGACGCTGATCCATCTGGACGAGAGCACGGAGTGGAGCTCCATGATCAGTCGCCGCACACTGATCGTAGTCTTCCCCACATAAGATCACCACAAGATTAGTGGATATTGAACCACCAAGTAAGTAGCTTTTTGTGGTGGTGCACCTTTTCGCCAAGCAGTGTGGCCTCGCTCACCGCAGCGAGACCTGCGCCGTAGTGAATGTGCTGCCGATTCTTCTGCATTTTTAGCACTTGCGTGTACACGTTTTCCGACAGCACGCGGTAGCAGTGCGGCACTTGGCAGTGTGGGTTCACATCCAACCCCACGGTTTGCATCTTGTCGAGGAATTGTTGAAATCGCTTGGTCGACATGGGCTGGATATCGGCTTGACCTACACAGAAGGATTCAAATGAAATCCCGGTATATAATCATCATTCGACTATAAACACGAATATCATCAACAGCACGTACCTTGCTGCCGCAGCGGACGACTCGCCATGTGCACAAAGTCGAATTCGAGGACGCCAAACTTGGGGATCTTATCGCAAAATGCGTTTTCTATCTCATATATACGTGAGAGATTTTTGTCCCATTAAACTCTATAATGTGGTCATATCCATAATCGATCAACCATACCGAGGACAACAGGTTTGCCATTGAAGCACTCGTTTCGAAAGCACTGAAAGTTCCTGTGCTGGGACGTGTCGAGTAAGTCGTGGCGCTTCTTCCACAGCATGGTTTTGTTGGAAATCTCCATGAGTTTCTTGGCGGCAATCCGGTCCAATGGCTCAGCCATTTCCAGCCGGTAGTGGCCCGTGCACAGCCCCACAATCGGTCCAAACGAAAACCGCAACAAGTGCTGCAAACTACAACCCCAATAACGATTTTTAGACCTTGCATTTTGCCTTGACAAGTAGGTAAACATACTAAAACATCCATCGCGCTGTAAACCTGTGCGTTAGTTAACACTAAACGAGAACACTTCACCACTATGTATTGTCCTTTTGCCCAAAATTTGGACTTTTATGCTGAATCGCCAAATCTACCGATCGATTCTTTGTACTGAATTTTGTATGTAAAAAAAAGGTGTCCTGTGGTATTGTCGATTTGATACAAATTTGGGGAGGGGGTGCAATCGAATCGCGCCGACGAAACCGATCCACAATCGATCTGATTGGTTAAATTTCATTGAGAAGGTTTTGATTGGCTAATCATTTTGAGCTCAACTGAAGTAGCCAATCAAATCGATTTAAATTCCAACGAGAAACCACGCCACAACACGAAATTTCACTCGAAAGCACAATAATTCGAATTCACACTCTTTGCAGTCACACACTAATTTGACGTTGATGATGATTTCTTGCAATCTGATTGGCTAAATCCTTCTGCCGATTCTTGTGTACATTTGATTTTGTCGATTCATTCTCCACATCGCTCCAGTTTAGAATAAACACAATATCTGCAGCCCTCTTGTCGTGAACCAAAACCGAGAAGAGTTTGCCGTCGTACCGCAAGCGTTGGGACACGTCGGTGATGTTGCACTCGATGAGCTGACACGCATTGGACGCATCAATCATGTGCGGCAAGATCGACGCCATGGCCTGCACGACGTCCGACCCGTCCAAGATCGAGTCGATGATCATCTGCGCCTCTCGCTCTTTGAAATACATGCCTAAGCAATACCAAAAAAGTCAATGCATTATTGTCAAATTGGGTCGTCATTGGAGTCGCGACTAGAATCGAAGAGATACAGTATGGGCAACTCGATTTGAGAAAACTAAACTAGCCCATCAAGACTCACGTTCGGTAGATAGATTCGCTTTATTGGGAATATATATATACGTTTAATATTGTATAGGATTGTAGTGTACGCAAGCATACAAATTGGGGCACATCCGTTTGAAAGCTAGTTTGCGATGGACTCAGAGAGGTCCAATTTGTTTTGGATTGCAAACGACAATATCAACGTAGATATAAAACAAACCCTGACTATACAAATATATATATTCCGTGTTCGTGGTGTTGGTTGGATGGACATATATTTGGTCAAGAGATGCGCTGTACCGTTCTTGGCCATGGCCAGCATTTGCACGTGGGAATGATTGTCCTTGAGGTTCTTGATGAGGTGGCCGACGCTTTCTCTAGTGTGCGCCTCCTGCTGCTCAGACGGGATGTGCAGATCCACAAACTCGACCAGCATGTGACCCGTCAGCGGCACTTCGAACGGCCGATTCGTCGCCACATCCACGAGGACCCGTTTGGGCGTCGGCACGACGTTGAACGATGCCATCAGCTCCATAAACTCGTTCATTTCAATCGTGCCTGTGTTCAAAACATTCCAGTAAATTTGGACGCTTTTGCAAAAGTCATGTGAGGACGTGTACCTGTGCCGTCAATGTCAAAGCGGGAAATCAACCGTGCTGCTTCGCCCACTTCGGGTTCAATGCCCATGCTAAGCATGCCTACACAAATGAACACAAGTTATGTTGGCGGAATATGCGATCAACTTTTAAAATCCCGAAACTCCTAAATCCCGAAACCCCGACCTCGTGATTATCGAATATATATGTTGTACCGTTTTCCAGCTCGATCGAGTCGATCGCCCCCGAGTGGTCCTTGTCTAACTCGTCAAACAATGACTCAAGGGTCGTTTGGTTCATCCTGGCCGCAAACATGCGCGCTTTGTTGCTGCTTCGCCGCCGCACCAACTTCAAACCAAAATAAATAAAATGAGGTATATGTCAAGTTCGGCACTCAAACCACAGTGCAACAATAAGAGTTCCGACAGACCTATTGTCAAATCGATAAGAACCGCCTAAGCCAATCACATCACGTTCTGCTGAATTTCTGCCAATCCAAATGATTGACTCAGCCCAGTCCCTCCGCATTGGGCAAAAACAATATATATACTGACATTTGTATACGATAGTTTGTACAAGCTTAAATTAGATCAAATGGATTCGATCAAACGTCCAAAATGGGTGAAATGCACAATACCTCTGCCGAGGCTTTGGTTGCGTCGCGGCACTCGACGTGAATGGTCTTGGACGTCTTGTCCAGCACGTGCACCATGGAAATGAACTTGCACCCTGTCTTGGTGCTTGCACATCGAACGAGCTCGAGCAAAATGGACCGTTCGTAGGGAATGCTAATAAATAGCACCAACCACACAGTGTCACATACTAATATTAATACTGTATCCACAACACTACAGTTCACGACACCCAAGGAATAGAATTGAAGGCTCGTCACACTGGCGACAGATGTAGATATCTCATACTATTTCATAAGCCAAGACTGCTTCGACCCATGGGCAAATATGTAGATGATACCATCGTCCGAGCAGTATGTACGACATACCTCAAATTCAGGTCATACTGGCCCGACGCTTCTTCTGGATTGAAACTGTTGGGGTCGAACAGGTCAAAGTTGCATCCGTTCATGGGAATGGACAGACTCCGGTTGCTGGACGTGGCTACAGCTTGCAGCAGGCCCTGGCAGCCCAATTTCCCCAGCGGATTCCCATCCAAGATGATGGTCGAGATCGAATCGTTCACTTGCAGCGACTGCGCAATGACCCACGCGGCTTGGCACGGAATGTTGTTGTGGCTACCGTTACTATGGTCAAGTATGCATCCCATTGAAAACACCAGCAGAAATGTTACCTCAGATCCAGCACCTGAAGGCAATTGTTTTTATGCAAGGCCATGCCTATTGCTTGAGTTCCTTCGTTCCCGAAGCCGTTGTACGCTAGATTGAGCTCACGAAGGCCATTGTTGATCGCCAGTGCCTTTCCCAGCTCCACAGCGCTATCACGTACAGCACAGCACGTCGTCGTCATTGTCGTCACATAAGTTAGTTATACTGTGAGTATGAACCAAGAAAGAACCGCCTGGCATACCTGTTGAGGCGAATGGTGTTCCAAGACAAGTCCAACTTTGTCAGAAAACTGTTGTTGCAGAGCATTTCGGCAATCGCTTCGCCGCCTGTCGTCAACATGGATTGGTTAGGGCAGCATGTTGATATATATATATATATATATATATGTATGTATATATCGGTTGAGTAGGGTAGCATTTTGATATATAGATAGATAGATATACACTGTGGCCACATATGAGTACTATTTACCTGTGATCATGTCGGGCTTGACGACGTTCATCATTTCCGCACTGCCGATTAAATTTCGCGACAGTTCCAACGTCCGCAACGATGTGTTAGTGTGCAGTGCCTGAGCAAACCCGAGGACTTCGCCGTCGTCGACGTCGCTCTTGTTCATTCGGAGCTCGGTGAGGGCGCACGTAGGCGCTGCCACGTACTCGGCCAACGCCGCCGCTGCGTCTCCGTCTACCTGTAAAGTGCACATATCATTGAGAACCCGTCAATGATTAAGGCTAAGTACCTTGTTTTCCGACAAGTCGAGGGACGTGAGGTCATCCTTGTTCAAGCACACATACACGAGGGCGCCAATGCCGCTGTCGGTGAGCCGATTGTTCCGAACGTTCAAGCTAGTGACCATGGGCAAATCTGCCAAGCATTGTGCAAAGATCTACCTCGACAAAAGCATGAGGGGAGGGAGTTCAAGGTCAAATCAAATCTGTAGAGGAGATTCTTATGTATGAGATGCATCTAAATACATATTGTAATGATGATCATGACTGTTTATACCTTGCACATGTCGTCCCCCATGGCCATATGCGATACGTTGATTTCGGGCCCCGTGTGGTTTCGAATCATGAGACGAATCGATGGCGGGAGCTTGGCTATCAAACACATAGCCGTGTACTTGTGGCGCGCCGTGAGCGGCCCCGCAAAGATGCCCACCGTGTCGTCGGAAGGCTCCAACTAACGTCGAGACCAGTCACAGATTATTCACATCTAGGAGGCGGGTCAGTCGAGTAATTACTGTACCTACCTGGGTCATGTCTATGTTTGTGTCCAAGAGATCCTCCACAGACGTAAACAGGTACATTTGCGACGCCAACTTGTTTGTTAAGCGCCCCATATCGGATTTTCCCGATTCCCCAAAGTACCTAATGAGTAGTACTTGTAGTAACAATCCATAGGACGAACTCGTGATGATGTAACACGGGCGGTACTTTCGACGGTCCGAGTCGGTTAATTTCTCGAGGGCGTCGTTCTTCACCTCGTCCATGAGCAATTGGGCTTGCAATACTTCTGCCGAAGTGGGAATTCCCATCGCTACAATCGTTTCTTTTTATCACGACGTCCACGAGTGTAAGCGCAACGTGAATAATGCAAATAAAGACGTACACTGCACGGGACCTTTGAGTGCAGGAACGACCAGCTTGGTAGAGCTGAGGAATCTCTGGTCCGCACTGGGCGCCGACGCCCCCCGCGCCATGCGAAGGTTGTTCTGGACAAGCGCGGGTAGGGACCGCCGCATGTCGTCCGAGATTTGCCAGCTCTTGTTCAAGATGCTAACGTCCCAATTCGGGTCGTGGGTTTTATGGTGGTTGGATTTCGTGGGTTTGGGCCGCTTGTGTTTGATCATGGGAATGTGCGACATCGTCGCACTTCGATTGTGCTTGTCCGTGGAAGAATTATGTGTGTGTGGAGGTTGAAGGTGGGGGGTTGGATGGACGTAGGCGGCATGGGCAGCCGACGACGTGTGGATGCTGTGGCTACGATAGACAGGAGGGTGTTTCTCCTTCTTCTTGGGCGATGCTGCGTTGTGAGGTATCAACACCTTGTTTCCTGGAGCACTAGTGGTAGACGACGGAGCGACGTCACCTATCTCGACGTCTTCATCAATGATAATTGGTTTCATTTCCACAATGGCGATGCCAACCAAGTTCGCGTACTCTCAAGAAAGCCGGGATATAAATAGTAATCACTCCGGTCAGTATACGAGCCCTTGGCAGTTATTTACCAACACTGTGCTCGACTTGTGACACTAGAGTGACTGGATTGCATTCACGCTTGGTTGGCGCAAGCCTTACGATTGTAACATGTAGTGAGCCCAATGTACGTAATAGCCAATACTGTGTTGTGGTTTGTCCATGGTGGCATTCGGCAATTCTATTTGCCGACCAAAGTAACCGTACCGAATGGCACTGCGAGACGTGCAGTCGCTGTCCGTCTCCATGCAAAAGTGGCACCGGAGCTGCGTGCATCTGACGACGACTTGTCTGCGTTTCTGGGGCCATTGACGCGAGACACCCCACTGTCGGTCCAGCAACTTGCCACCAGTATTGGCTACGGGACAACAGAGCTTATTGCACATCAATCAACTACAGCTAACGTTACCGGTAGAAACCTGTACCAGTATGACTATGGGTGCCCTAACGTTACTTCTGCATTAACGCTCTTTGCTTAATCGCAGGCAGCGTGCGTGTGCACGTCACGTCCTTTCGCATGTTGCTTGTGTGTGCACCTGACTCAAATCAGCGAATCAGCGAAGAGCCCACCACGAGTCATTCTCCAATCAGATCGTCGATAAATACAGCCAATCCACAGTCGTAAATCCGAAATAAAGTAGTTTGATTGGTGGAAACGATTTGCCGCGGGATTTCGTGTCAAACCGAAGTTCGACCGTCTCCCGCTTCGAATGCAATTGGGCATAGTCGACGACGAATAAAGCAACTCTAAATAATCACATACAAACATGGAATCAAGAGTTCACTTTTCAAACCTATTAATTCGCGGGAATGGTTTTAAACTCAAAAATTCGAATTTGCATTCGAAGTCATTTAAGCAAACGGCGGCAACCTTTACACATTCCCAATCTTGCAGTGTGTTGAAGATGCTAGTTGTGTGCTTAGAAGGATGCCACGGTATGTACATGGCCTCACCTTCATGATGAATGCGCGGCATTCTCCACTCATGCGCATGGATGTAGGAAGCGGCAAGACCTCGCTGTGCAACGAGTTTGCGGCAAATGGGTTCCGCATCTTGGACGAGAACTTCCTCGACATGCCAGCGCACTCGCTGCATCCGCAGTCCCTGTTCATGGAGACGAAGTGGGTGTGCTCCTGGTAAGCCTTCGACTCGGACCACTTTCCACCTTGTCCTGACAGCAGCTTTGTGCCCCAGGTTTGACCGCGTGCTGCAGTTATCTCACAAACCCAACACCCAGCGCCAAGTGTTCTTTGCCGACCGATCCCCGTTCAGTGCTGTGTTCTACGCCGCGCACGGCAAGTTGCTCGAACCCCTCATTCGTGCCCAGATGGATGAAGTGTCCAAGTTCGCCGACATCGAATTCGTTACGCTGCATGTGAACGTCGAGCGCGAGCTTTTGTGGCGCCGCATCCAACGGCGATTGCAAGATGAGCCCGAGCGCATTCGATACATGGAGCACAAGCGATCCAAGATGGAAGATTGCTTGGCGTTCTACAACGCATTCCCATGGGACATGCATGTCGTGAACGACGCCCGATCGTTGCCTGTCCTCGCGGAACAAATCATCTCATCGGTGGCCCACAAGAGCCATACAATGCGCGTCTACCTTGAGGTACTTACTACCTACTATCTCCCTGTTCATGTTGAGTACTCACTTCACATGTATAGCGTATGGTCCAGTCCAAGGACTTTTGCATGGAGACGGACAGCGACTGCGACAGCGAAACCACCATGAGCTGCGACGACTCTCCCTTGAAGGCCAAGTTGGCATCAGTCGAAGATTCGTCGCCCATTCCCATGCACTTTGAGTAAACCACTCAAAGCATACCGGTATCATGGTGGGTGTTAGGTAGAAACAAACAAACCCAAGCCTTCAGGCTCATTTATTAATCTATTCCGTATTGTCATACATCGGCTATCCATGCGTCGGCCTTGTCCATGCTGCAGTAGATGTAGCAATCAGCCATGAGTGTAAGTGGACTCCTCTTCCACGGCATACTAGTATCCAAAGCTGGTTGTGAAATATCGTTTTGATTGGTCCATTCTGATTGGCTCGAGGAGGATAGTTTTATCCACTCAAATTCGATAGCGTATGGGATTGGTTGAAACTGCACCAATCAGAATGTGATGGAATGCTATTTGTTTTCACAAATGAAATTATTAACCTTTGTATTGTATGTGCAGCTTGTAATTAAATACAAATATACCTACACCTCATCATATTCATTTCATTCGCAGCGACATATTTTGTCCACACTTTGACCACATTTGGATTCTTCTGGAAGTGCCCTCCAACGTCCATGCGCCTCACCCAAGCCGCCGCGTCTGGCCTGCAGCGATGCTTTGGCCGAGCGAAGATGCAACTTCCGTACGCTGCGCACCGTCCGTCAGCACCTCGATGGTGCCGTGCGTTCAGCGACATCAAAAGTAGGATGCGATCGGTACATCATCGGTCGTCGCTAATGCCACCATGCCTTGCCGTCTAGGCGACGACGATGATGATGACGACGTCGATGTCCCGTCCTCCAAGAGTATTGCGACCTTTGGTGAAGGTGACAAGGCACCCATGGTGCCGCATGTGTTGGTTATTCCAACGCACAAGCGTCCATTGTTTCCTGGGGTCGTGCTGCCCATGACGATCACCAACCCCGACGTCACCAAGGCCTTGGCAGCGCTTCGTGACAGCGGTCAAAAGTACGTCGGCGTCTTCTTGAAGAAGCAAGCTAGTAAACTCGACGTCACGACAAAGGTACCGCCATCCATGCCCTTCGTCGCCATGGACATACCACATCCTCAACACACAACATAGGAGGAAATGGGGTTCACGGGCATGGAGGCGCAAAAGGACGAAGACCTGGTCACGGACTTGACCGGGATCCATCACATCGGCAGCTACGCCCGCATCGACAACCTCATCAACTTTGAGAACAACAGCGCGTCGCAGCTGCTCTTGGTCGGCCAGCGCCGCATCACCATCGACGACGTGCACGACAGGTACGTCGCCATCGTCGTCGTTTATCTGAGACAGTGTGTCTTTAAGCGGAGTGGAAACATCGTCACAGCGCCGCTCGTTCGTGTCAATGCCTTGATTAATCGTTGTTTCATGTGGACTTTATATCGAATGAATATTATCGTGTGACGGCGACAATGCTGCTTTGATTGGTGGTGACAATGCTGTTTTGAATGGTGGTGACAATGCTGTTTTGATTTGTGGTGACAATGCTGTTTTGATTTGTGTGACAATGCTGTTTTGATTGGTGGTGACAATGCTGTTTTGATTTGTGGTGACAATGCTGTTTTGATTGGTGGTGACAATGCTGCTTTGATTGGTGGTGACAATGCTGTTTTGATTGGTGGTGACAATGCTGCTTTGATTGGTGGTGACAATGCTGTTTTGAATGGTGGTGACAATGCTGTTTTGATTTGTGGTGACAATGCTGTTTTGA